AATAAATTGAGAATGGTGGAAAATATTTCATGATAAATGGTATTTTCAAAGTAATGCGTGAAATTTAAAGGCATATCAGCCTCAATGATGTATTTCCGTTTTTCATAAGCTATTGGGATTTAATTTATCATTAAGGAAATGATTATGATAAAACTGGTTCTGTTAATCTTAGTATCAATTATGCATAGTAATCTACGTTCGACAATAACAACCCAACCAAATTCTCTACAGTAATCACAATCATGAAAGTTTGCTTATAAGTTGTTGCAATTTTAATAGACCTAAAAAGTTTTAAGGGAAAAATAATGATATCTTGTTTTATATCAATTAGAATATATTAGGAAATTTTAAAAAATTCGAACAATAAATTAATTGGCTGAATGTGTTAAACTTTTTTTTTCAGCAGATCGATTAAGACTTCTGGTCGAAATGTCATCGTAATAATTTTGTAGATTTGCGGAATGAGGAAAAAATTTTCCGGGAAGAGGAAAAAATGAAATGAAACAAACCTTGCTGCTTGACTAGCATTCCAAGCTGTTATTCCAGCTGTTTGACAATCTGCTAACGAATTTCCAATATAGCTCATCCCGCCCGGTAAAAAATTATGTGCTGGAGAAGCGGTAAAACCAAGTGCAGCACTTGACATATGTGGTGCAGCTGCGTAAGCACCATTTTTGAAATATGCTGCAGCAGCCATATTTGCCGCAGAACTCATATTTGCCGCTGCGGCAGCACTTGTTACGCTTACGTTGGAATATATGACATTTGCTAGAATTTATGAAGATCATAGAATTGCCAATGAATCTGAATTCTGATTGTAATGAGAACGCCGTGAAATTAGATTTAAAATAGTAGAAATGCAAATGTTGTCTCACTATCAACAATGAAAGAAAGCATATTACAAAAAACCAAGGGATCTAAAACTTGACTTCACTCAACTGACATCTGCGCTTATCTTATGCTTCCAAAAAAAAAAGCTTATTTCGTTTATACAACAGTTCCAATTAACATTCATTATTGTATATATACAAATTATCACAAATCATTTGTTTTTTAATTTTCCATAATTATTACCGCCCATTATTAATTCATTTCTTCCTTTTTTCTTTTTTTTTTTACTAAAAATAGTAAGGACTTTATGGTTCTGATTTTTTACTTGAAAAGTTTTTAGTTTTCAATTCATTATGAAGATAACAAAGGAAAAAGTATTTTAATTATTTTGGCAGAAAATGTACCAAAATCATTTTGAAAGAATTTTATTTTATCAATTAATTTATCAATTGTTAGAGTAGAAATGAACTTCGAAATTATTTAAAGTTCAAATTATTTAATCATACATTTACTCTTTCCTTTCTTTCCTTCTTTTTTACAAATTTTTATTAATTAAAAACTATGATAAATGAAATAACAACGATATGGAGTAATTTGAAGTACTGTTAAGTGGGGAATTATATCGCTGGTTATGATAAAAATGAAGATTATGGTAATATTTATTTCTTTTAATTATCGTATAATCATAATTTGCATTCATTTTAAACTCTTAAAAGTTATTATCTAGCTAATTGTATTAACTAAGCTACAAATTTCCTCTAATTAATTGTTTAAATTTAATGTTGAAAAATGCTCGTTAATTAATATTTGATAACGATTGTATGTGTGAAATGATACTTGATAAGAGTAATATCAGTTAGTATTTTTCCAAAATTATAAATTTAAAAAGAATATTACTGTATAAAAGTTCTATCAGTTGATTTCAATAACACGCTGTAGAATTGGATTACTGTATGTCGGCAATGTGGAATTGGCTATGAATGGAGTTATGCATGATACGTTATCACAGCACTGATCATTAAATAATTTGTGTACAATTTTATTTTGAAAAATCAAAATTCAATCAGCTGATTAAAATAACAAAAGGTTGGAAGAGTTAAAGGTTAGCATGATGAGGAAATTGAATTTAGACGATTTCCTGAAATTATTGAAATATTTCAAACAAAATTAGCATTTTACTATTTAATTTACTAGCATACAATACGTCAGCTTGATTAGCAGTTCAGTGGATGTTGTAAAATATTTTAATAATATATAATTCATTATTTTTCATCACATCTTCTTCTTACGTTAATTATTAGGAACATTTGCGCCTATGAGGACAATTCATTTGTCAAAGGATTCAGCTTAATGTTGTAGATAATGTCATCACAAATAGATAGGCTAAGGAATGAATGGAAGTAATGATCAGTAGTTTGGCTCAATATAACACTAAAAATTAAAGATAAAGGAAAGCGGTAAGTCATAAAGTCAAATAGTTCTAAATAATACAATTGAGTAACTCTCTCAATGGATGGCATAAAATACTTCGATATAATTATAATTGAATAATTATAAGTCATAAAGTTGAATAACCACAAATCATATGGTTGAATAACCATGAGTAATAAAGTTTTAAATAACTAAGTAATTGAATAACTATAAGTCATATAATCTTTTCGTTCAATATATTTTTTATTGGATTGATTTGCTGTATATTAATTACATATAAAACGAAAATACTCATTAATCGATTTGATTTCATTTAATATTGCAAATAAATTGAAAAACAAAATTTAATTATCAAAAAGAAATAAATATTAAAACAGATTTATTTATTTGTTAACGAAAAAAAAAGACTAACAAAAGAGTGATTAATAAAAAAAAAAAGAAAAAAGGAAATAAGTGGTGAAAGTTAAACGATTATTATTTTAATTTAAATTTTGATGAAATGATAAACATTCATTTAAATGAACTTTTCTCGAATTAATCCAGTATTATCTGCTATTAAAACAGTTCGATAAATCGAAAATCTAACTTTAACCTATTGAAAGAAGATTTTCTTTCATATTATTATTGTTAGAGATTAAAGGGGAATAAATGATATGTAAAAAGTTTAAATGATGCTTAAATGAGCTTATATGAAAAGAGTATCATTTTGGTACTAATAGATTTAATCTTTTCTGAATTTATAAAATAAAAAAAAATTTTTTTTTGGTTATTAATGGATTAACAACAAAAAAAAAAAGAAAAGAAAAAAAACGAAAACAAATAAGGAAGGGAAAAGAAGAATAGAGTAAGGTAAAGTAAGATAGCATGAAGTAGACTAGGATTAGGTAAGGTAAGAAAGAGGGAAATGTTATGTTATAAACATGACATAATGAAATGTGACAAATGTCAATAGTAACCTGTAAGATGGAAGAACTTGAAAGTTTAATATGAGTAAATGTATAAAAATTTTACAAATTCCGTAATTGGATTAAACAATTCTCATGTTTGCCAATTGATGACAATGATAGGTAACAGCAGGTGAACCTTTTCCGGATTTTCTATTTCCGAATCAATCCACTCATATACTTGAAAGTTAATACCACTATGTTGTGGTAATCAGGATGATCTATTCGATTTAACCCGCCTAACTAACTCACTAACACTTCTAAGCTGGTAATTTAACCGGACTCAACTGCTTTCTTATCAAACAATTCTTATGCTCACCTTTTCCTCCTCCTCCTCCTCCTCCTCCGCCTCCTCCTCTTCCTTCTCATTCTTTCTAATCTTTTCATTCTACCATCCACCCACGCTTTTTTCCCTTTTAAAGCAGTATTTTAAGTACTATTTTGTAAACTATTAACATATTTTAACAATAAAATTTATTTCTAAAACAAAATTTGTACATTGTAAAAAGAAAGCGAAGAAAGGCAAAAAAAAAAAAGTTGCTTAGAGATGAGTTTAAAAAAAAAAAAGAAAAAAAGAATCGATGAGATGAGATGATTACGGTATGTCAGCAAATAGATATTATGAGAGGAAGAGATGAAGTGATGAAAGGATGGGACAATTTGATGGAAGTAATCAGGCACGGAAACACAGCCAGTTGACAGACAGATCGGTTGATGACTGTTTTGCAAATATCATTCATCCATTCCAATCATCACACTGCTGTGGAATAATAAATGATTTCAATTCTCAATGCAATACCATGAGGTACACCCACAAATATACACCCACACACACACACATACACCCACATACACCACATACACACAACTTTTCCCAATACCATTGCGAGTGATGTGTGTGTGTGTGTGTGTGTGTGCTTGTATGTATGCGTATGTGTGTGTGTGTCGGTGCGATCCATTTTGTTTACCTCCTCTTTCTTCTTCTCCTCCCACCTTTACAATGTGACAACCAATAGGATGTGGTTGATGCATAAGGTGTCACCACATTTCAACGATCAACCCTATGCAGAATTCTGTAGCATATAATAATATTCGTTGGTATATATATATATATGTGTGTATGTGTGTATGTGTGTGTGTATGTGTGTGCTGTAAACAAATTTAATAAAATGAATATATTATGCCATCAATAATTTATACAAAAATTTCAATGAATGGAAAAATATTTCGGGTAAAATATCAATATAGGAATATATCAGAATTTCATATCGAACTGGAATTTATTCCCGTAATGAATTCCATTATTTCATTTCATTTCTTTTTTTTTCTTTTAGAATATTTTATAAAAAGATAACCGATGAATGTATTCGATACTTTTGATGACTATTTCAGCACAACTATACTTTCAAATGACACGTCATATTTTCGAATCTCTTTCGAGAAATGATTCTCTCTTTCTCTCCTTCTCTCTCTCTCTCGCTCTCTTTTTCATCCTTTCTTGATATGAAACTACTCGTACATTTCCTCTCCCTCCTCTATGATTGATTATTTTAATTACTATTTTTAACATATCATTTGATAAAATTTCTCAGTATCTCAATTTCCTGACTAAATATTTTCCGTAAGTTCATTTCTTTCTTTTTTTCTTTCTTTCTTTCTTTATTTTTTTTTACGGAAATAAACAAACATCGATGGTAAAGGATTTATACGGAATGATGTGTATGTATGTATGTGTGTATGTGTATGTGTGTGTGTGTGTATTTGTGTGGGTATGTATGTTGTGTACATATATATCTGTTGTTATGATTACAGATGAACTTAGTATCGTTCATCGGTAAACATCAAAGATAGGATGTATTGTGGATGAGTTGACAGATTTGTCATGATTGGTACTCGATCTATGCATATAGTTAGTCGGAAAGTCCACAAATGTGAAGTGGCGACAACAATGACGAATGGGAAAAAAAGGAAAAAGCGACAAAGCCGCGGCGGGAATGGAAAGGTATGAAAAAGAAAAGGTGAGGAAGAGAGGAAAAAGAAGAAGCGAGGAGATGAAGTGGATTAGTATTAACAAGTTGACAAGCAATAAATATATACAACACACACACACACACACATGCACACATACACACACATACACACACACACACACATACATATATATATATATATATATATATATATATATATATATATATATATATATATATATATATATATATA